GTCGGGGGCGGGGCCTCGCGGGCGGGGCCGGCACTCACCTGGGGCCTCCAGGTTCTCGCACAGCTCAGACTTGGCCTCCCCATTGGGCCGGAAGTTGCCCTTCTGCGTGAACTTGTTGGACATGGTGGCAGCGGTGACGACGGCTTTGAGGCTGCGCTTGCGCTTGGGCACGTTCTGCTCCGGGTGGAAGAGGATGATGTAGACCTTGGGCATGTAGAGCATTCCCAGGGACACCGAGGCGCTCAGACTCACCGAGACGGTCAGCGTGGTCGTCTGGATGTACAGCTGTGGGGCAGGGGTGGCATCAGGGCCACCTGCACTGGCCTCGAGGGCCTGGCCCTGCCCAGCGCCCACCCTGACACAGCCGCCCCGTGCCCTCTGGCTGCTCGTATTTGCCAATGCTGCCTCCTATCTGGGGGCGCCCCTGAGGGTGGCCCTGGGGACCACAGCAACCTTGGCCAGGTCCCCCCAACACCGGCTGAGGGTGAGATGAGCCCCGAAATGACCGCAGGGACGGCACCAGTGCCCTCTAACGAGCCCCTCATCGAGGGACCGCCTGCCACACGTGCCACCTGGGACGAGCAGGCCCTTGGCACGGGACCCACGGCACGCGACAGACCGCACGTTGGCGGCGGCAGTCAAAGCCCATTTCACGCTTGCTCGCCAACACTAACGGTGACAGATGTTTAGCAAGATGAAAGCCCATTAATCTGTTGTCGGATAATCCATCCTTCAGTAGCGCCGGGCAGGGCCCAGCGACTCCCGCCGCCCCCAACCCGGGGTTTCCTGCTGCCTTCTTCCACCCACCCCTCCTCCAGGCCTCGTTGCCCTCTGGGCCCCTCAGCCAGGGCAGAGCCGAGGGAGACCCAAGCCGCGCCTGCGGGTCTTGGCAACAGGCGGTGTCCGGCCCTCGAACCCCTGGGGCCCAAGCCCCTCGCCTAGGGGCCGATGTGCCGCCTCCTCCAGGAAGCCTGCCCAGCCCCCGGCATGGGACACGGTCTGGACTTGCTCCCTGAGGGCACAGGGGTGTTTGGGAGCTGGCTGGGTCATGGAGAGCTCTGCTCATCCGTGGGTTCATCAGCTGGTGAGTTCGCGCGGAAAGAGCGGTTGGGAGGTGCGGCCTGTTTGGAGGTGGTCACGGGGGCGTGGCCTGGACGGGGCTGTGCTTGGCCCAGGTCCTCCCTTCTCTCGCTGCTTCCTGACTGCCAGGGCTGAGCTCTCCTCCTCCAGGCCTTTCCACCGCACCCATGTGCCTTGGACCCAGCCAGCCAAGGACTGAACCCTCTGAAACTGAGCCAGAACTAATCTCCCTCCTTTAAGTTTTGAGGTCCAGCATTTTGTCCTAGCAATGGGAAAGTGGCTGACTCCCAAACCGTGAGGTTGCCCCAAGCGCAGAGAGCCAAGCAGCAGCCTGGGTGAGTAGGGATGGCTAGGGACCAAGTGTGTCTCTCTTTAGACGGTGGCCCCCCTAGGGCAGGGGCTGTCCTATGTTCCCACGGGGGACTTGGAGGGCCAGGTACCTATTGTGACAGTTAAGCTCAATTGTGTCGACTTCCTTAGCTTGGGAAGCCATGGAGAGGATTTAGTAACACGCAGTTCTGGGTGTGACTGAGCGGGTCGTGGAGAAGTGGCCTTGGGATCTATGTATGACCCTCTTCCCCCGCCCTGATTCTTGGTCACCATGAACTAAGCAGCTTTGCTCCTCCACACCTTTCCACCATGATATTCCTGCCCCCAAGCCAGCTAACCATGGACTGAATCCTCCAAAACCGTAAGCGAAATTAAACTTCTCCTCTGTTAAATTGTGGGGGGCCAAGCGTCGTGCCCTAGCTACGAGAACTAGAGCACCTGTCTTACGCCCTGTGCCTTCACCCTTTCGATGTGGAGGCGAGCGGCTGAGGATGGACAGATCTGATGACATCAGGGATCAGACCCTCTCGGGGCAGAGGGCGCCTGGCAGTGGACACCTGCATCAGGGGCCGGGGGCCTGGGTTCTGAGGCCGCTCTGCCCTGGTGCACAGTGAGATGCTGGGCAAATGGCTCCCCTCTGGGTGGCAGGAACCCCACCATTAATGCAGGCAGAGCCCGCTTCGTGGGTTCTGTGTAATAAGGGGCTCACTTGGTTTAATGCCCAGTTGCTGCTGGCTTGAGCTCTGAGTGACCTCTGGACAGGGCCCTCAGCATTATACACTAGGCCCTGAAGACCGTGGTGCCCACCTGGAGCACAGGCACCAGAGCAGACACTGGCACTGCCTGGGAGCCTTTCTGCAAACAGCACTGGGCAGAGCATGAACAGATCAAACTGGAGCCAGGTCACTATGATCCGCTGCACCGCTCCTTCCCAGCTCCACTGGCCACGCCCAGGCTATGAGGTGGGCCTTGTGTGGGGCAGAAATGGAGCTCCCTGTCCTCCATCCTCTCTGCTGCAAAATCTGGAACTGCCACCAGCCCTGGAGTCTGCTCTTGGCTCCACTGTAGTTTCCAGATCCCCTGTGCTATGAGCCTTTCTCAAAGAAGCACACACCTGGGGAGGGCAGGCCCAGGAGGATCTATTTGGTTTTTTGAGACAGGGTCTCACTAGGTAGTCCAGGTTGGCCTTGAACTTGAAGCCATCCTCCTGCCTCAGCCTCTGAAATGCTGGGACCAGGAGGATCTTAAAGACAGCAGACAGAAGTGGGCTCCAGATGCAACCTCTCCTCTTCCACTGCCCATCTCCAGCCTGCAGGGGGCCTGGCCTTCCACTGTTGCTGCTCTGGGTGGCCAGGCTGTGCCGCTCCAGCCTCTGCAAGGGAGTCAGCACCAGGCACATGGTCCCCAAGTGAAGGAGCTGTCAGAGCTGGGCGACAGAGAGGCGGAGGAGCTGCGTCCTGCTGACCTGCGAGGCCGGTGGGCACAGGGTGCCAGGGGCCCAGGGCAGGGATTGAGGAGCTCGCTGCCCTGACAGGGACCGAGGTCTCCAATCTACAAATCAGACAAAGAGTGTCCATGGCCTGCCCGGCCTGGCTTCGCGGGAGCTCAGTAGAGGGAGTCACTCAGGCCGGCTCAGGGCCACGCTCCACACCACTGAGCCCTGGAAATCCAGGCTAATACCGGGAAATCATCCACCTGCTCACCGGAGTGACACGGACAGCTTCACCTCGCACCCACACCCACACATGAGCATGTGCAAGGACACGCACACCCACCTGTGCTTCCCGCACACCTGCATTCACACCTGAGCTCAGGCTGCACACACACCTTTCACACAGCTGGGCACACACGTACGAGTACACAGAGCCACCCAAACAGCCACAGTCACCCAGCACACTCCCACACCACACAGCTACACGCCTTGTTCACATTCATATCTGGGCACACACACTCGATTTGCTCACACACACACCAGCCCATCCACTCCTGAATGCACTGCACTAGAGGGCACACTCCCCGCTGTGCACACACACTTCCACGCCCTACCCCAACCCGACAGCAGTGTCTCTCACACGCATACACACATGCACACACGTGTGCCCGTGGCCACGGCCCCTGTTTGCATTTGGGGTCTGGCACTCTGATGCCACAGTCAGAGGTACTGAACTGCTAAGAAGCCTGGTATCTGGGCCTCAGAGCTCAGAGCTCCCGCTGGCTCCATTCGGAGGCCCAGAGGGGCAGGGTGTGCCCCACGTCCAGGCACCAGGGGCAACCTGAGTGCCACGGGCACACAGCCATGCGCCTGCTGCTGAGAGGCAGGGCCAGTCCCTGCCCCTCTGGGATGATGGTTGTCACCCTGGGCTCCTCCCGTAGGGGCCTCCTCGGGGGACCTGAGAGGCAGGGGCAGCCTGGAGAGCAGGGAGGGTGGGGGGCTGGCCACATCCGGAAGTGGGGGCTCTGATATCAGGGAAGGGAGCTGGGGAGGAGGAGGCTCAGCCTCCACACTGTGGCCTCCCAGTGCAGGCTCGGGTGACCCCCAGCAGGTGCTGGAGGGGGCCTCCTGGAGCTGCCAACATGGAAAGCCCTTCCTCTCCACAGACCCTGCCGCCACACCCATGGTGCCACTGCGCACTCATCACGATGCCAGAACCAGAAGGACCACAGGGCAGGGAGCGGGGCCCAACCACTGGTGGGGAAACTGAGGCCAGAGAGGCCAGCTGGCCTGTCAGATCCCAACTGGACACAGCCCCCACGATGCCTGCTTTAGTGCCTCCCAATCCTCAGGGGCGCCCCAGTCACCCAGGCCCAGGCAGTGCCCAGCCTGGCACGATGTGGGCAGAGCTCACAGGACACCCAGGGTGTGCAGACCCTCAGGCCTGGCACACAGGCTTCTGAGCTCCAGGGCGGTAGGGGGCTGGGGAGAGAGGGAGCCCACACATTTCTCACCGCAGGCAGTCATGGGATCCGGAAGTGGGCTCTGATATCAGGGAAGGGAGCTGGGGAGAAGGAGGCTCAGCCTCCACACTGTGGCCTCCCAGTGCAGGCTCGGGTGACCCCCAGCAGGTGCTGGAGGGGGCCTCCTGGAGCTGCCAACATGGAAAGCCCTTCCTCTCCACAGACCCTGCCGCCACACCCATGGTGCCACTGCGCACTCATCACGATGCCAGAACCAGAAGGACCACAGGGCAGGGAGCGGGGCCCAACCACTGGTGGGGAAACTGAGGCCAGAGAGGCCAGCTGGCCTGTCAGATCCCAACTGGACACAGCCCCCACGATGCCTGCTTTAGTGCCTCCCAATCCTCAGGGGCGCCCCAGTCACCCAGGCCCAGGCAGTGCCCAGCCTGGCACGATGTGGGCAGAGCTCACAGGACACCCAGGGTGTGCAGACCCTCAGGCCTGGCACACAGGCTTCTGAGCTCCAGGGCGGTAGGGGGCTGGGGAGAGAGGGAGCCCACACATTTCTCACCGCAGGCAGTCATGGGGATCCTGGGAGGGGCAGATGGAGGTGGGAAAGAAAGGAGCGGACCCAAAGGGAGACAGGGCCGGTCAGAGAGCGAGGGAAAGGGGAATCCGAAGGCGGGACGGTGACGAGAACATGAGGCATCTGCAGCTGAGACAAGGGGCAGGGGCGAAGGGGCGAGGGAAGAGGGGACGGGAAGGAAATGGGAGGGGAAGGCGGAAGAGGGGAAGGAGGGGAGGAGTGCGACAGAGGATACAGGAGAGCGATGCGGCGGGAGAGAGGGACCAGGCAGAGCAGCAGGGAGAGCAAGGCAGAAAGGGAGGAAAACCCAGGACCGGGAGAGAAACGCTTGCGCAGGGCAGCGAGGAGACCCAGCGAGCCCGGGAGGGGCGCCGTGCCGTGGCCCCTCACCTTGTCGGCCGACTGCGAGGTGCCGAAGAAGATGGGGATGAAGGCGAGCCACACGATGCAGGTGGTGTACATGGTGAAGCCGATGGGCTTGGCCTCGTTGAAGGTCTCGGGCACGCCGCGCGTCTTGATGGCGTACACGGTGCAGGTGACCATGAGCAGCATGCTGTAGCCCAGCAGGCAGATAAGTGACAGGTCCGAGATGTCGCACTTGAGCACGCCCCTGGCGAAGCGGGGGTCCAGTGTCCGCTGGTCCTGGAAGTCCACCACGGAGTGGGACGGGTCCACCACGAGCCACACGCAGATGCCCAGCAGCTGCAGCGAGATGAGGCTGAAGGTGATGGCCAGCTGCGAGGCGGGGCTGATGAAGCGCGGGGCGCTCACCGACCGCTTGCCCTGCTCGAAGATGCGGTAGATGCGGTTGGTCTTGGTGAGCAGGGCCGCGTAGCTGATGCTCATGCCCAGCCCCAGGAAGACCCGCCGCAGGGCGCAGGTGCCCAGGTCGGGCTCGGCGATCATGAGGAAGGTGGTGGCGTAGCACAGGAAGATGCCCGCCAGCAGCACGTAGCTCAGCTCGCGGCCCGAGGCCTTCACGATGGGCGTGTCGTTGTAGCGCATGAAGGTGACCACCACAAACAGGGTGGCCGCGATGCCCACCACGGCCAGGAAGAGGGGCAGCACGGCCCAGGGCGACGCCCACTCCAGCTTGACGATGGGGATGGGCCGGCAGCCCGTGCGGTTCTCCGTGGGCCGCATGTCGTAGGGACACGTCTTACAGGTGTAGCGGTCCACCTGGTACTGGTACCCGGTGCAGGGCTCACAGTGCCAGCAGCAGGGCATGCCCTTCACCGTCTTCTTCCGCTCGCCCGGCTGGCACGGCAGGCTGCAGATGGAACGGGGCAGCTGCTGCCTGCTGCCCGGCCAGTGCATCCGCTCTATCTGGCAACGACAGCATCGCAGAGCAGCCTCAGGACCCTGGGCCCGGGATGGGATGGTCCCCGGGGCGCCCCGACTCCTATGGGCTTACTGCACCTGACAGCCAGGCGGGATGGCGGGACTCAGACACTACTGCGAGGACCCAAAGCCCGCAAGACTCAAGGAGAGGCGGAGCCCGGACAGCAGCGGCAGGCAACCCAGCGCCACACAGTGGCGGGGGCTGCCCCAGGCCTCGCTGCCCACCCATGCTGCAGTTGTCCCCTCAGCCCCCAGCCCTAGAAACGCTGCTCCAGTGGCTCAGATAAAACAGGAGGATGATCCCTAAGCGCCCAGTGCAAGCTCTTCCTCACCTCTGCTCTTACTCGGCCCAGGCAGGAGCACAGGCGTGGTGCAGCCCCCTGACCCCCGTGAATCTCCCCATTGTTCCAGCACTAAGGAGAGGCCCCCAACAGTGAGGGCACCGGCCAAGGCCCCGGGAGCCTCGCTCAACGCACCTGCTCCAGCAAAGCAGCCTGCAGGAAAAGCTCACTGCATGGTCCCCGGGGGACCGGCACACACACGCGGCAGGTGCCCACCCCCAAGAAGTGCCACCTGCCAGCTGGGGCTCTGGGCAGGGTTTCTGAGCTGCGGAAGGAGTGGGGCCGGGAGAGGATCCACAGAGGACCTCATGGCCAGGGGAAAGGGAAACCTCCATAGAAGGACACACTGCCGGCTGTGTCACCCCAGAGTCACGCTCAGTGTGGCCGGCAGCGTCCCGCGGGAATGACCCTGCGGCAGTGGGGCCCAAGGGAGGGCTTTCCGGGGACGCAGGAGGGTGGCAGTGCTCTGGGAGACTGCTTCCAGGTCAGGGCAGGCCTAGGGTCACATGTGATGCTCCGGGTCAAGCACCTTGGCCTCCTGAGCCTGTTTGCGCCACTGACCCAGGATAGCAGGACTGAGGCCCCCTCACCCCTGTTTCCAAGGGCGCCTCCCCCAGAAGTCAGTGCTGCATGCGTGTTTCAGGAGGACAGCAGCTCTGGGAGGGCGGGGCCTTCATGTTTATCATCCCATGATCCTGCAGCCCTGGCCCATACTGGCCCAGGGAACCTCCAGGGAATCGAAAAGGACAACCCAGGCCGGGCCCTGACACTCAGGCACCTGGACAAGAGGCCACTCAGCCTCCCACCCTGGAGGAAGAGAGTAGCTGCTTCCACCACCTCAGCTCCATCCGCCGAGGGTGGGCTGGGCCACGGACAGTTTGTCTGGGGGGCCTTGGACGGGACACACCTGCACCCCAGCCCTGCCTTCAGCTCCCACGTCTGGGCAGTGCGGACAAGGATGGCACCTGCCTTGTAGAGTGGACACTCACAGTACAGTGGGGGACTCGATCAGAGCCACAGCCGGTGCACAGCTGCCGCCACAGGGAATTCGAACCTGTGCCCACACAAGGTGCCCACCCTCCGGCACTGTGGTACTGTCCTTGCCAAGAGTGCCCACCCTCTCAGTCCTGTCTCTCAGCTCAGCACAGGAAGGGACTCTGCTTCCCAAGCTGTGTGGCCTTAGGAGGGTCCCTGTGTCCCCAGGGTCCGGTGCCCTGGCTCAGGAGGCTGTGGCCTATAATAGGGGGTCTCGGTGAGGCTCCTCGCTGGAAGAGGTCAGGAAGAGACAGCAGGGTGCAATGCAGCTCCCGCAGGACCCCAGAAATCCCAGGGGTCACAGCCCCACTTCCCTCCCATGGCCAGCGGCCTCTGGTCCTCTCCCTGGGGTGTGAACTCGTCCACCCAGAGTGCCCCAGCCAGAGGACAGTAGCTGGACAACGCAGGCACCGGGCCAGAACGGGCAGCTGAGTCGGGCTGCCCTGCCTTCCATTTGGGGTGCAGGCCTCAGGCCTTGGGTCTGAGAGGGGCAGGGAAGGAAGTTCCTGCAGCAGCCGCCCGGGGTCGAGGTCCCTGTGCTCTGCCCAAGTCTGGGGTGGCCCAAGCCCTGCCGCCCAGCCGGCCCTGCTTACTCGGAGGTGCAGGTGGTCGGTCCAAGAGCCGATGACCTTGTACTCAGCAGAGCTGTTGCGCAGCTGGTACTGGTAGATGTCATAGCGCCCGGGTGCGTCTCCATTCTCGTTGAAGGTCACGGGATTCCCGGCGATGCCTACGGAAGTGCGAGGGGGCGGTGGCTCAGGGCAGCTCTGGAGACGCCTGGGGGCACCTCGGGGTCCTGGCCCTCAGAGGCCTCTGCAGACAACCCCCACCCCGGCGACCGCACCCCACCTGAGAAGTTGACATTCCGGATGTACTTAAGCAGCTGGGTGCCGTCCACGGGGTCCATGCGAGGACAGAGCCCCACGCGGCCTGGACACAGGTCGCGGTGCATGGCGTGCAGCGCGTGGCCCATGGCATACACGGCGTCGATCACAAACTGCACCTTGCCCTCCTGCTCGTAAGCCGAGTCCTGCCCAATGCGCTCCCGGTCTGCAAGGAAACCCAGGTGCGACTCTGTGACCTTCCTCACGCGGTGCCCGGGGCACCAGAGGGCAGAGCCATGGGCAGCCCCTCGGGCTTGCTGAGGAGCACAGGGGATCCCAGAACCCCCACTCACTCCCTCCCGGCACGCCCGGCCCGGGGCTTCATTGGACCAGAAGCTATTAGCTGCGCTAACGGGCAATGCTGTTTCTAGGCCAAGGCGCAGGTGGGGATGAATAGGAGACACAAACTCCCCGGCCTCACCACCCTGCCCGCCCACCCAGGCCTCTGACCACAGGGTTCTGAGAGCCAGGAGAGAAAGAACAGGCACAACACTGTCCCCAGAGGGCAACAGAGCGGCTGGGGGCCTGAAAGTCCCTCCTGGACCAGGCCCACCCTCAGCCCGAGCCCCAGCCCCAGGGACAGTGCAGAACTGGGCCACAGGGCCCTCACTCCTCCTGGATCGAGAAGCGGGACAGCGGGAGGCTGCAGCCACCATGGAGAGGAGGTCGACTCCTAAGGACACCTGGAGACAGATGAGGCTGCCTCCGGATCCCAGGGTCCCTCCTCAGATCCAGGGTCCAGCTGAAGCATCCCTTCCTGGGCCCCCAGGGTCACCGCTGGGCATAGAGGCCCCACGGGCATCCTCCACAGGGAAGCCCACGCCCCTTGTGCATCCCCAGGGCCCCTCGAGATGCTCTGATGACAGGTCAAGGTGCACCCCACCGCCTGCTCCGTGAGCCCCCAACCTGCCTCCCCCAACCCAGGGCCTGGCCCTGCCTGAGCGTCGGACCAGACCTGACCAGGGTCAAGGATGTCTGCCTGCCTGCTGGTCTGCAGAGACAGGCCTCAGGGAGGAAGGGAGACACACACGTCTGAGAGCCACGGAGGAGATAAACTCCAGGTACACGGTGGCAGTGACAGCACCAAGAGCCACGGAGGAGATAAACTCCAGGTACACGGTGGCAGTGACAGCACCAACATCTGAAGATGTTCTAATTGTGTCCCGGGGCACCGAAAGGCAGAGATGGGTTTGGCTGTGCCACGAGTGACAGCCATCCAGGACCCATCGGGAGGATTTTCTCTGTCAAATCCCAGAGCTGTGGTTACTACGGCGACTGCAGCCTTTGTCTGCAGGTTGTAAATTGTAATTGAAATGAGTTTTCAAGGTTGAAATAGCCAGAGTTCTCCTTGTCTCCCCCTCACCTCCAGGCCAGGATCCTAAGTGCTACGCACGTGTGCAAACACACACAAGCAGCTCCCATGGCAGGGTAACCAGATCTGACACAGACAGACACACATCTGGAGGGGCAATTCTGCATGCCCGTGTGCACGCATACACACCTGTGTGCACACACAGCCGCACTGAACACGGCAGCACCACAGGTCCATGTCCACGCCACACATGCCAGACGTGGGACCCTGAGTCTCACAACCTGCACACACACACACACCCCAGTTTCCAACTCTGAGCAAACCTCCAGGGAGTTCACCCCGAGGCTCACCGGGACACAGCAGCCAAGCAGAAAGCGGGGCCAGCCCACCATCCAGGCTGGCAGCAGGTGTCTGGGGCCCTCAGTCTCCTTGGATGGGATCCAGATGGTGGCCTGGCCTTCAGGGACACCAGGGGACTGACAGTGATGCGGACCTGACCCGTGAGGGGTACAGCCAACCTCGCAGGCTCAGTGCTCCCACACCTGACACGCATGGGCCCCCAGGCCCCTCCAGCTCCAGCCCCACCACATTTTCTGCTAGTTCTTCCCTCCCTCAACCCCACCTGTCACCCACTTCCCAGTCCTGGGTCTCTAAGCAGCTCAGCCTTGGCTTCTGCACCCCAGCCCTGCTCCCCAAAACTCAGCCTCTGCTCCACACCGCCTCCCTCTGGTCCCAAGGGACGCTGCAGAGGTGGCTTCTGATGCCAGCAAAGCGAAAACGCCAGGTTTACAATGATCCCAACGGTGCGCCTAGGTCCCCCAAAGTCTGACCTCAGGAATGTGTCCCTGATACCCGCAGGGCATGAACATCCGGGTCCAACGAGCCTGCTAGACCCCCGCTCCGGCTCTTGAGCATTCCTGAGCTTCAGTGCCCTGTCTGCAGCTCCGTCCTATCCCTCAGCCAGCGTCCAGTCTTCGCTGGACTGGGAAGTGCCCATCTTTGGAGAAACATACTGTGATTTCTCCCATTTAACCTCCTCCGGACCCAAGTCCTCCCCAGCTAGCATCGCCCAGCTCCTCGTCACTGGCGGCAATCTCTCTGCCTCATTTCCTCCCAACCCACTCCAGTCGGGCTCTGCACAGCCTCTCCAAGAATGCAGAGCTCGTGGAGGTCACTGTGGACCCCGAGTTGCTCAGGGAAGGGGCCCAGCCCCATCCTCTCCCCACTCGGCCCCTAATTCCCCTGACAGCATGCAACGGTGTGGTCGCTCCTGCATGAGGCGTCCTTCCCTTCGGGGACAGCAGCCTCAGGGTCCCCCACGCCCCAGGCTCTGTGCTGCCCCTGTTTTCTAACCGCGCCTGCTCCCCGCTTTCCCAGCCAGCTCCTGCTCCCCTCAGCCCCCCAGGGCCACTGCGATTCCATCCATCTCCTTGCTCTGGCCAAGAACCCGGGAGTCACCCTGGGATTTCTGTCGTCTTCCGCTTACCTTGACTCCTTTGGCAAACAGCAGCCTCGCTGAAAATTTACCAGGAAGCTGACCCTCCCGCCACCACCTGGCCAGCGTGAGTCTGGATCACAAGCCGGTCCATGCGTCTGTCCGCTTTCCCACCCAGCGATGCTCCGTCTCGGTCTGCACAGGTGATCGCCCCTCCACCCCCACCTCCTCTGCTGCTCTCTCCTGCCTCAGGCTCAGGGCTCTGAGCCCACAGCTCGGACCACCAGGCCGCACCGCCTCACAGCCGCCTACACCCATCTGCAGGGCCAGGTTGCCCCCAACCCCGCAGGAGGCTCCAGGCAGATCTGCTCCCTAGCAGAGCCCAGCAACAGTGGACTCAGTCAGCCTCTTAGCAACTGCAGTTTGGCTTCCGGGCATCGAGGGATTGGGCCCCAGACCCCCGGCACCACATGCTGACAGCAGATGCAAGCCTGAGTCCCTCCAATGGCTGCAGAGCAGGACCCCAAACACTGCCCTCCTGCCCTTTCCCGGGATGGAGGCTGGAGAGGGCTGGGATGGGCCTTCAGCTGAGCCAAGGCAGGATATCTCTGGAGCTAGATGGCCTGGGTTCAAATCCCAGCTCTAGCCGGGTGTGGTGGTGCACGCCTGTAATCCCAGAATTTGGGAGGCTGAGGCAGGAGGATCACTGTGAGTTCGAAACCAGTTTGGGCTATACAGCAAGTTCCAGGTCAGTCTCAACTACATAGTGAGACACCGTCTCAAAAAAAAACAACAACAAAAAAATCAAATCCCAGCTCTGCTACTTCCTGTGTGACCCTGGGCAAGTCCTAACGTCTGTCTACCTCACTTTCTGTAAAATGGGTTGCTCTGAAGACAAAATGCAGAACCCTGTAACAGAACTTGACAAATGACAAATGCTGCGCAAATATTAACTGTTGTGATTCCTCTGTTTACTCTTTCTTTCTTTCTTTTTTTTTTTGGTACCAGAGATCGAACTCGGGAATTTGCGTTTGTGAGGCAGGCGGCGGAACCACTGAGCTAAATCCCCGGCCATTAAGCAAATATTAACTGTTGTGATTCCTCTGTTTACTCTTTCTTTCTTTCTTTCTTTTTTTTTTTGGTACCAGAGATCGAACTCGGGAATTTGCGTTTGTGAGGCAGGCGGCGGAACCACTGAGCTAAATCCCCGGCCATTATTATTTTAGGGTTGCTGTTCCCACAGGCTGAGTGACTGGCATCTCCCCAGTCCTCACTCACCACCCCCCTCCCAAGCTCCCAGCCCCGGGGAGCAGCAGGCAGTAAATTTCTCCATCTCCTCATAAAGAGAGGCTTCTTCCACTCAGCCATCACCTGGGTGGCAGTGCTGTCAGAAAGACGGATGCCACATCTGCCTTGTTTATGACTTTAATTCCCAAGCCCTGCTCTTCGGGCTCCGGGGTGCAGCTGGGAGAGGAGGAGGGAGGCAGCGCTGCCCTCCCAGGGCTCCCAGAGACAGAGATGGAGACGAGACTCGGACTGAGACGCCCCCGACAGAGCCTTCTCGCGCCCCGCCCCGTGGCTCTTCCTGCTGACCAGAAGCTGGGGCCCCGCCCAAGGACACAGCACTGGGGTTCCCGGCTGGGAGAGCTGACGGCTGCACCCGAGGAAGGACGCAGCTCCCACGAAGCCCGGCTGCGGCACCTCCCCGCTTCACACAGGCACTGGGCAAACGGGGGCACCGGAGACACCCACCTTGGGGACGGGGCTGGAGTCCACAGAGCAGCGCTGCTGCACACCCCGTGGGAGGGCGGAGGGCTCCTTCCTCCGTCCCCAGAGGCCCAGGAGAACCTCACAGCAGCGACCCGCCTGCTGCCACCCCGGACGGCTGCCTGCTGTCCTCCCCCTCCTTCCCAGACTTCCGGGAAACACACTTTCTGCTCTCGAGCCTCCTGGGAAGACAGATGCAGCCTCGAGGGGTGAGCCCTCGGCAGAATGGTCCTCCTGCCCTCTCAGAAGGTCACCCGGCCCGTCCTTGACAGACCGGGAAGGGACGGCTTCGGCCAAGGGCACGCACGTGCTCCCCTCACCGTCTTGGGCAGGGCCAGCCGCGCCCAGGGGAGGGAGACAGGCAGAGCCCCACTGTGGCATCTGCAGCCTCGGGGGATTGGGGGTCACCACGGCAGAGGATGGGGCGGCCGGAAAGGCCCAGGAGCCGGAGGTCAGAGAGGGGCGAGGGGCGGGGCCTCCAGCTGCACACTGCCATGCACCAGCTGCCTGGGTTTCTCTGCTGTGAGATGGGCACTGTGCCCGTGATGCCCAAACCCCACCTCCAGGCTGGCATGCTCCCTCCTCCGGGGTGCTGAGCCCTCAGAGATCTGGAGCCAAGCATCCCAGGCTGCCGAAGCACCCAACTGCTGGTCTACACCCCAAGTCTCCAGCCGCCTCGCTGTACCAGGGAGTGCTCTCTGGGTGCCCACCACCTGCCAGGCTCCGCAGCCTCTCCAGCAGCTGCGCCCCCACAGCACCCCGTGGAGACGGGCTGTGACTTCCAGTTCTACAGACGCAAATCTGAGACCCACAGAGGTCAAATAACTTGCCAAGGTCACACAGCAGGAGGCGGCTGACCTGGATTGGACCCAGGACTGTGTCCTCCCCCACACTCGTGCAGGAGCCCAGTCCAGCTCTTCGCTGACCTTCCGCCCTCCTGGTCTCAGGCTCTCTCCGAGCTCACCTGGGGCTGGGGACCCAGAGCTGCCCCCTCCCAAGTCCTACATCCCACGCATTTCCAGGAGGCTCAGCGCGCCGACACAGGCCCTGTCCAGCCTCCGGGGGGCTCCACGTGGGGCAGCACGGACTGGGGTCAGCCAGGAGATTCTGTCCCCATCCTCCTCCCCGTGTCCCTGTGAGCCTGGGCCCCTCCCCAGCCTGGGGTGCCGTGTCCTCCTGCCACTCACTCCCCAAGACAGAGTGCCTGGAACCAGCAGGGCCCTTCTCGCTACATCCGGGGTTCAGGCACACCCAGCCCAAGCTGTAACAGGAAGTCCAAGGCAGCAGGTCGGGTATGGGAACTTTTAAGGACGCCCCAGCGGATGCAGTAGGAGGCCGGGCTACCACCCCTCATAGTCGCCGAGCCAGCTCAGAAGCCTCACAGCCCGGGCCCCACCGAACTTCTGATTCAGTCGTCTTCAGTGTGCCACAAGCTCCCAGGCATCAGCCTGAGAGCACCCCACCAGCACCCCTCACTCCCTTCTGGGGACCCCCAGCCCCGGCTGGCGCGCCATCAACCCCATCTCCCAGATGAACAAGCAAAGGCCCAGAGGCCCAGGGCCACCTGGGACTCACTGCAAGGCTGCGCCTGGAGACCTGACCCGTCCTTCCTCCCACCTCTGTGGGGCTCACCCAACACTGCACTCAGGGCTGCCGGAGAGAGCCAGGAGTCCCGGGACACAGCCTGCAGGGCCTGCCAGAGCTGGGCCACCCACAAAGCCCTGACCCTCCTCACAGCACCCACTTCCGGTCCCACCGTCCCATCCCCGGCCGACGGTCAGGAGCCCGTGGGCTTTCCACTCCCATACAACCACTGCACCAGGGCGCCTGGGGACCTCCCCAGGGCCCAGCGTGGTTACTGTGCTCACTGCTTGACTAGGGCCTTGCCTGTGCAGACTGAGCCAGCTGCTCGGCCTCTTTGACCCTCCGTACCCCACCGGCGACAATTACAGAAGCCCCAGCGTCCTGAGGGAGAAACAAGATGAAGTCTGCGGAGGTCTGGGGCAGACTTCCCGGGGGCCGGGTAACAGCGGTGCTCGTGGTCAGCAGCTCACACGGGAACACATAAGCCGCCAAGGAAGACACACGCAGATCCTTCCACCCAGGCACACGGACTCATCACAAATGCAGTGCGCTCGCGTGTGCTCACACAGCCTCCCGGGCACACTCACAACCCTCATTCTCTCTCTCCACAGCGCAGGGTGAGCTCAGCCTGTGGTCCAAAGGCTGCAACCTGTGGGCCGTGGCCACCAGGGGGCAGCATCGTGGTGCCCCGGCCCTGGCAGACACCCACGGTGGGAGGCCGACAGCACATCCTGGCCGAAGACACAGCTCGGACCTGCGATCCTGCTCAGGCACCACGCAGGCTGAGAGGCACCCGGACCCTCACACCGTGTCACAGAGGGGCCCTGCTGCAGAGCTGCCCAGACCCTGCGCACACAAGGACCCATGCCACAGGGATCTAAAGAGAGCACCACGATTGCTTCCTCGGGGGACTGAGGGCCCAGAGCCCAGACCCGGGTTCGAATCCTGATCTACCATCTCCCCAGTGTGGGAGCCCCTTGGAGGCTGGGTCCTCCCCGCTATAAAACAGGCCACTCACTCTGCTCAGGCCTTGGATGCTTCCTTTGCAGGGAGGGCTCTCCTGGTCCCTTTAAAGTGGCGATTTCCCTCCGCCCATAGCACTTCCCTTTCTTTTCCTTAACCGTATGGTTTCTTTTGCACACTTCTTTCTATCTGCCCCTCCATTAAAATCCCCCGGCGAATTTTGACTCTGGTTCACTACATCTCCACCATGTATAGACCAGGGCCAGGCGTTCCTGAGAGCGAAACTGGCGTTTGTTGAGTGACTGACTGAGGGAACCTTGTTGGTTAGAGGTGGTTTCTGTTCAGGGTTGAGATCACTGTGCATCGGACCTGGACTCAGCTTTGTGGACTAGCCCCGGGATTTCCAGATGAGCCCCAAGGCGTCCCCAGGGTCTCACCCATGCTGCGGTCCCGGAGCTCCTTCCCCCAGTCACAGGCGGCTTGCCACACCAGGAGACACAATGGGTTCTACAACGCTAAACCCTCCCGAGGTGGTTTCTGTTCAGGGTTGAGATCACTGTGCATCGGACCTGGACTCAGCTTTGTGGACTAGCCCCGGGATTTCCAGATGAGCCCCAAGGCGTCCCCAGGGTCTCACCCATGCTGCGGTCCCGGAGCTCCTTCCCCCAGTCACAGGCGGCTTGCCACACCAGGAGACACAATGGGTTCTACAACGCTAAACCCTCCCCCTACCCTAAGCAGGCTCTGACCCCGCCTCCCG